ACTGTTAGACATTTTTACTGAAGTAAAGGTGGAGGGTAGTCACAGAGGAAATACTCAGTACAAAAGTACCTGGTAAACTGACTACTCAAGTACACTTAACAAAAATATAAATGCAACACATCTGGTTTTGCACCCATTGTTTATGAGATGAACTCAAAGATCTAAAACTTGTTCCACATACACAGCATCATCATTTCCCTCAAATATTGTTCACAAACCAAACTAAATCTATGATAGTGAGCACTTCTACTTTGCTGAGATAATTCATCCCACCTAACAGGTGTCCCATATCAAGATGCTGATTAGACACCATGATTAGTGCACAGGTGTGATTGCCCACAATAAAAGGCCACTCTGAAAGGTACAGTTGTGTTTTTTTGGGGGGCGGGGGCAGAAAACCAGTCACTATCTGGTTTAATGTAACAAATGGGACAGAGACTAATGTGCATATTCTGGTATTGCCGAGTAAGAAATACAATTTTAAAATAAAAATAAATAACCTGATTACAGTATGACAAATTTTGGGAGAAAAAATACACTTTTTTTCAACATAGACTTACTGTATAAAACCAATCTTGACGCTAGATAATGCATATTCAAAGGGAAGTGTAAAGGACTTTTAGCTACCATATCTACTGATTCACCTAAATTTTGAATTGCTCAATTTACTTATCATGGGTAGACTATATATACTAGTAAAAGTAAAAAACAAATGGTAAAGTAAAGCTACTCCTAATGATTATATATTTTTTCTAAAACTTACTCAAGTAAATGTAACTGGGTAAATAAAACTATTTCCTACTTACCTTTGTGATTGAGTATTTGTGACAGAAGGCAATAAAACAGTTGTGCATACTAATAAAGTGGAGGGTGAGTACAGATAATACAGTTTCCTATTGGCTCTAGATAATTGATTTTTAAAAACAGACAAAAGCTCTGCCCAATACATGTTCAGTGCTGTCACTTAGCATTGAGTGAATCAGATAATATATTTTAAAATGTTTGGCTTTGCTGGGCCATTGTTTATACTCCGATTGGCCAAGTATTGGTCCTTGGAGTGGAAATGGGTTTCAGGATGCATTTCCTCTAAACAGTACAAAACCAAAGAAAATGAATTGATGAATTATCTTATGGGTTCTCACACACCATCAGGATACCTTAAGGGGATAGTATACATAACCAATCATTATCAATAAACATAAGAGTCTTTTATAAAAAAATATATATAGCGGTACTAGCAAAAGTTGTTTGCTGTTGCACTGTTAAAGAGAGCAGTGATACAACACTAGAAAAATAATCTTAATCTTTTTTAAAACATTCATCAGGGCTGCTGCAGTGCATTCAATATAGGAAATTAGAAATGTTGTAACTGCAAACCTACATAGTTTGAAAAGCCATAGGTTTGTTTTTGGAATTATTTGTTTTTGTTTTATTTTAACAAGGCGGCAACGTAGATAGCCAATTATAACACATCCTTGAAGCAGTTTACAGACTTGTCATGACTAAGTATATAGCTTATGGTTAGCTATTTCACCAAGGCTGTTAAAGCTAAAGTAAAAATTTTTTTCATGTGGTATATTCTACTGGTAAGGTATATATATATATATATTTTTTTATGTAAAGCAGAATCGTGAAAATAAATAAATAAAATCCCAGCCTCCCATAGAGCAGATTTTTTCATTGCTGGTATACATGTCATCAGGATCTCAAGAGTGTTATCTTAGTTTATTAGGACCTTATAAGTCTGTTTTATTACTTTCTTGGCACATGAGAAACTCAACATGAGCCATCTGCTGCTTTTTGTGTTTTCCTGAACTAGGAAAAAACCCTCAACAGTCTTTTTGAGGAAGGGTGAGATAAATTGCCTGCCACTTCACTCCAAGAGTCGTTAATTATTCAAGTAACACAAATCAAAACCACACAAATGTCTCCGCTGCAGGCTTCCTGCCTGTTATTTAGATATTTTGTTGTCTTTTAGTCATTTTCTTGGGGACGTCTCTGTCCTGCAGTGTTATAGCTTTATGTCCCTGCTGGGTCATTCAAGTTGAACAGTGAAAAGTTTTCATAACTAAAAATGTTGCTTTTGTAATTTTTTTCGTTTGTTTTTATCTTGTTTTCTCTGTTTATCTTTTTTTTCTAGACATATTGATTTCTACAGGTTCACCTGCTCGAATAAAGAAAATTTTTCCTTTTTAGATTTTGTATACAGTGTCTATTTAACATAAATCTTGGTCTCTCTTTTTTTTTTTTGCTTTTCCATCTGCTTTTTGTGAGTGCTTAACGCGTTTGCAGCTTCCCACTCCTGAAAAACACACTCACAGGTTCAATATGCAAAGCAGACAAATCGGTGGGGAGGGTGCAACCAAAATAAACATGGCAGGTGTTACTGTACACAGCCAGCGGGTACCTCTTTCTTTACTATTTTTTGTAGGAGGAAGCTTGACGCTGATGAGTGGGTTTCACATGCTGTATCTTTACATATGCTTTTACTCTACTCTGCTCGCTGCTCAGATGCACTGAAGAGTATAGATTCTATTTTTGGTTTGTCATCATGCTTCTTCTGATGTTATATTTTCTCACAGGATGCCGGTTTGTTTAAATGTATCATTTTTTATAACGGCTAGAGGACACCTTGTTTTTTAGGAGTTTCCAATTTAATCACACCTGTGAATGCTGCACCACCTGTTCACTAGTATTAAATCTGTACTATATTTAAGCAACAGATTAATCATTTTAATGACAATTATCATTCATTACAGTACTGGCCAGCTTCATACAGTACACTAACAGATTGGTTCTGAAATAAGAGAATGTTGGAATCAGAACAACGCAGAAGAATACCAGGAGTCATTTGGAAAGGTTGGATGGCTTGATATGATTCAAAGGAATAATAGCTGTTTTGTCTGCATACATAAAAATGTATGCCACTTAAGAGGAAATATGTGTCCTCAACTAAACTAACAAGGCTGAAAGGAATGTTATCAAAAAATAATGTGTGGTTATTAATAAGAAAGGCATACTGAGGTAAAACCTTGAACATTTCTGATTTGCATCCAAATATACGTTTTTATGACTAACCAAACAGTATTTTTTTTTTGCTAGCAAGATGTTTTTTTTTACCTTCTGCTGTGCAGTTGACTTTAAAAAAGTATTTTTATGCATATATTATTTAGTGTTATATGTATCTGGAAGCTCTCTTCTGACTGCTCATATTTACCATTGTTACACCTAAATTTCCACAATATGGAAAATAAAGGTAATTTTATTCCATTCTATTCTATTTGTAATGTGCATTTCTTTAAAAGTTAAATTGACATGAAAAGCTCTTGATTTACAAGTCTATTTAAATTCCAACCTTCATCTATTATCTTGAGATTTCATCACTGAAAGAACAAGATCCTGGATACAATGTGTTTGAATTGATTTTCCCATTGGCTCAAACTAAAAGATAAGGTAAAGATCTCAGTCATCTAAGGAGATTTTTGATTACTAAACTGGTTTTAGTTCTTGCTCAACACCAGCTATTTCAATTTTATCCCCAAAGCTCTGGCATTGTGGGTCAGCGGAAAGATGCTCTTTTATCAGGAGATACGTGCAGGCTTATGGACATCAACAATTAATCAATTTTTATTTTCATGTTCAAAATCCAAGAGTTAGTTTTACAGTTTGTCTGTTTCTTTTTTCAGGTAAAATACTGTTAAACACTAATTATCAACATTAACACAAACGGAAATCACTAATATATCAGGATTACTTAAGCAGGTCAGTGCTCTTCAGAGAGTCGTGTTTATAGACAGTATGTTCAGGTAAAAGGCTGGTGGGTCCTTAATGTTGCCAGGTGGTTTTAAATAGGTCTGCCATAAATGTTAAGCTGCAGTTCTTTTAGTGCATCGAATAGCGACTAGATCGGCTGATTGGGACTGTGAGCTGTTTACAGCCTCTTCTTGATGGGAGGCTAAAATGGGATTAACAGAGAGAGAGAGAGAGAAAAAAATAAATTAAAGCGGCGATTCCAGAAAAGCTGTTTGCAGGGATACTGAGTAAAGAAAAAAAAAAAAAAGAGTAGATAAACTTTCTCCAAATAATTTATGATGATGGGCTGACAATGGCTCTGAATTACCTCTTGGACTAAAACAAAACTAAATGAGTTTTAAGTGAAGGCTAGAACCAGTGTAGTTAAACGCTGTTACCACTTTAATGAGAAAGCCCCTATGAATTAGGGGGGATTTGGAGTTACTGCTACTCTGTATCAACAGGAATCAAAGGAATCAGAAGAGCTAAAACTGCAGGGTCAGGAAGCCTCTTGTTGGCTTACCATAGGAGATGTTACTAAGACCTACATTTTGGGCAGAATAAGAAACATATTCATAACTCTCTGAAATGACAAACATTTAATCTTGACCTGTCACCTCTATGAATTGATTTCCAGTTAATCAGAAGCGATAAAGGATTTTTTTTTAATTTATTCTATTTTTTTGTGTATTATTAAAACACCCTTTGGTTTTAAGGTTTTGGTGCCACTGAATTAGGCAATCAAAAGAACAAATAAAATCTAGATACTCAACAAGATTTGCCAATTAGATCTTTAGTTGTTACACTTCTAGTTCATACATGTATTGAAAGGGTTTTGAGGCATTCAGTCTTCATTTACCATTTTCTAAATTATGTGGCTAAGGTCTGAAAACTTAAATACTTTTTTATTTTAATTCTGTAAACTTCCTTATTCTTAATAAAAAAAAACATTTTTAGCATTTTTGTGATCAACAAGCATTTTATTGTACAGAACTGTATAGTTGCACACTTTAAAACCATTATGTTTCTATTCAAAGAAAAATTTTTTGACAAGATGCATTTGGCAGAATATATATTTTTAACACAGTTTCAACTTCTGTAAACTCCACTAGGTCTGCTGCTGGTTCTGCTTTTACTTCACCTTTTTATTTCCATATTAACACATCAGCTTAAATTACTTTGTTTTTTCTGCTTCTCTATTCCCTCAGCGGCCATTTTGGATGACCAGTCTTTGTGTGGCCGCGGTGAGCGCCTGGCGCTGGCTCTGGCCAGGGAAAATATTAACAATCAGATGGAGGGTTCCTCCCAGGCAAGGGTAGAGGTGGATGTCTACGAGCTACAGAAAGATTCCCAATATGAGACGACTGACACAAGTAAGCCTTTTGAATATTTTTAATATCCAGTTTTTGTATCTAAAATTGTTTGCAGACTGCCTTCATAATGTTTAGTTATGAGAGAAATTAGAGAAGGAGAAAATAGAAGAGAAATTAAAATCAACAGCACTGCCAATGTGTAATGTTTCTATCGATTTCCAAGTTAGTAATTTATTACTTTAGCAGTCAATTTATTAAACCTTTATAAGGCACTCAATGAAATACTTTGAAAATCAAAATTCTAATCCAATTGTGTTATTGTGTTATTAAGTGTTATTGGAATGTCAATTTCAATTAATAACAAAGAAACATCAACTTGACTGAATATATTAAGAAAAATAACAAAAGTGCTTCTATAAGAATTTCATCAAGAACACTCATGAAATGTGAAACAAACACATTTTTTGGTACTACTTAACCTTAGAAGCATTAATGTTGATACTGGCACTTAAACCTTTTAGTTTATAAACCTAAATATAATTGTTAACTAGGCTTATTAACTTTTTAACATTACTTTTCAAATTTTCACTTAGCTTTTTTCCTTTTTTTTTGACTTGTTAACTTCTTTTCCCAATTTAATTTACAGTAGGTAATATATCATTCAAGGGCTCGTCTGTCATGATCGGTTTGTCGGAATCTGACCCACATACAGTGTAACCAGTCAGAGAACCAGGGGAAAAGTGCAACAGGTTTATTTGTGGAAATGAAAACTGCCGTTGAGTCTGGAAATCAAAGAACTGGTGAACCGGAACTGGAAGTGAGAAGGGAAGATCACAGAGATCAGTTCAGAGACCGTGGGAATTTTGGATGTTGTTACATTTATGCAGGAGGGGGACTCACGTTTGAGGGGGCTCTTGTCAATCCTTGAATCCTGTGTGGGATTATCCAGAGAGTAGGGAACACATTGGAGAGTGGACAGGTAGACAAACGTAGGACCCGTAGGAGTAATGGAGCGGACTGTCACTCTGATTTCCGATGGGAACTTGAACGGATCATGTGGAGGTTTTCACCTGCTCAGTTTGAACTCAGATTTTTCTTTCCAGGGGGAGAAGGTCCAGGTATCCAGTTATACAGGAAGGCTTCCTGCCAAAAAACAAAGACAAAATGAACATAAGTCTCAGAGAAACAAAGCTCAGGTTAGACTCTGCTAATCTCAGATTGGCTAGAGTACCCAAAACTGGCAAACACTCTGGCGTCGAGGTATTGACAGCCCACTGCTCAAATACTCCTCCAGATAATTGTCCAATGAGCCGCAGGTGTGCAGGGAGGCCCAACAAAGACAGGGCACCTCTGGGTGGTGGAGAGATGGAAACACACAAACAGACCACACAAACTGGATTCCTAACATCACCTAATTGGTCAAATGCCAAAATAAGATGTACAGCCCTGTAGCAGTGTCTTTGCTGAATGGCTGGATATAAATCTTGTGCTTCTAAACTTCACTGAAGGACGGGGGGGGGCATTTGTAAAGGATATGCAAGTGCTCAAAAATGGTACCTTGCCCTATAAAGGGTTAAGTTAAGCAATAATTTACCCTACCTGACTACCACTCCTCAAACCTTTTTGAAGTTGCAGGTGTATTACAACCTGTGATATTTTTGAAAACACTAAACTACTATGACATAGTTTAGATAACAATCAAAAACAGAATTGGTTTTATTTACCAAGTTGGAAGAGGTGTGTGTGGTTGGATATGTATTCTTGATTTTTAGAACACCATTTACGTAGTAGTCTTTCAGAATTTTCTGAGGATTTTGAAAAAAAATCCTAAGAAAGGAAAAGCAAAATAAATAAAACTGCATCTTTGGTGTAAACGTGAAGAGCTTTATTAACCTTTAAAATAAAGCAAAAATGCAAAATGCCCACAGTTTCACAAATAAAAAAAATTAATAAATACAGTAAAAAAGACTGAATTCAAAAATTTGAAATAAATAAAATATGTAGCAGTCTTTTTTTTCCTTTCTGGATAGTGCTACAGTAGCACGTTGTCTTTTGGAAAAGTAGTGACGGCAACAAGTGCAACAGAATGGTCTCAACTATTTTCTACCTTTAAGTGTTCCTACAAGGCCATCTTCAAGTTCGTTCAACCTTCATGCTTTTTGGCACTAAATGTATTTGTCCACATTTCCTACAGAAAGTGGAGACCTTGTGGAGGTTTTGATGCCTCTGGCTGTAGAAAATAGCCTCTCATCAGGGACAGAGGTAGCTGGTATGGCAAAGTAGCATTTAACTAACTTGACAATATGAGGATATATGGACTCATTGGTTCCACCTTTAGTTCATCTGCTATATTTGGGCGAGTGTGTAGTAGTCATGTGTTGAACAGTAACTGCTATGTAGCTTTCACTAGCTCCATTCATCAGCTGGAAGTGCTACAGCAGTTTCCTTGAACAAGTAGTGCCTAACAGCAGATTTTCTTTTTCATTAAGGGATATCTTTTGGCTGAAACAAGCACGGCAAGGAATTTACGAGGGGTCAAGTCCTTTGAGGAACTGGATGTGTTCAACAACTGAAATCAACTTTAAAACTGCTGCTTTAAAAACTCCAATAGCAATTATAATTGATATAGCTTGATCTGAAAAGCTTGGAGGAGAGTGTGTGAATCCCACTGGAAGCCCTGGCCTTAATGATACTGTAGATGGTGGTTCAGAAAAACAACAACAATCCACTGGACTTTGTTTCCAAGTTTGAAGACGTTTTGTTCTTTGTATCCAGGAAGCTTTTTCAATTCAAAATATCGGAATTAGCGTTGAGTTTGAAGCTTTATTGAGTGGCCCCAAACAAAGCCTTGTTTTTGCTCAGAAAACATGCAAATTGAACCGGAAGAACATGTCCGCGCCTTAGGAATGGGGTGTTGTTGGGTTCTTTGTTAGCCTGTAATACCTGCTAATGTCATGCTTTAGGTTGACAGACTCTGAATGAGAGCAACCACAGAGGCAATGATCAGTTTAAGGGCTTTTATTGAAGGTTGAGGTCTGTACAGAGAGGAGTCCGGCTGGCAGGGTTTTCTGGGTTCTGCTGATAGAGGTTAGGTGACAGGTGAGCAACTGGTTGGTGCTGGTTTGAAAGATGAGGGGTGTTTGTAACTCACAGAGAGGGAAGCTTGGCATCAGTTTGGGGAGGATGGTGACCATTGGCCTGGTCGGATGGTGCAGGTCTGGTTGGTGTCATAGGGTGGACAGGCAGGTGAGCTCAGGCAGGAGGGCTTTAAGCAGTTCAGAGGCCCGTTGCCTCTTGGTTCCTGGAGGCTGACTGGAAATGCCTCTGGCAGGAGTCCAGAAAGAAGAGATTTCTGTGGAGTGGTTTCGGGCTTGGGATCCTGGGTTCTGAGAAGGAGCAAACGGAGAGCAGGGTTAGGATCTGGTAAAATTTTAGAAGCAAGTTTTGGTTAAAGATCAGTTAGTACCACACAGGAGCATTAACAAACTGACACCCTCCTCCTGGTTCCAGCTCCTTAAAGGGATAGTTCGGTATTTTTGACATGAATCTGTATGGCATCCCGATCACCAGCGGCATGCAATCACACTGACTTACCCCTGGCAGCGTCCTGTGAGCAGAGTTATCGTCCAGTTTTGGTCAAGCCGAAAGTAGTCCTGCAGGTTTTTAGGTACAGCGAAATAAAACGTTTCTCTTCCCAAAACATTATGTGTCCAAAGGAGTGATATTTTCGCATCCCAAAAACATTGTAGTGGAAAAAGTCACACGTCGTTATCAATTGGTCCTATTTTCTCTCTGTTCGTATCAGTGCGCGCCGTCATTCAGACAGCGAGCCCAACAACAGCCATGTCTCCTTCCGCCGCGGAAGGAGACATGGCTGTTGTTGGGCTCGCTGTCTGAATGACTTTTTCCACTACAATGTTTTTGGGATGCGAAAATATTACTCTTTTGGACACATAATGTTTTGGGAAGAGAAACGTTTTATTTCGCTGTACCTAAAAACCTGCAGGACTACTTTCGGCTTGACCAAAACTGGACGATAACTCTGCTCACAGGACGCTGCCAGGGGTAAGTCAGTGTGATTGCATGCCGCTGGTGATCGGGATGCCATACAGATTCATGTCAAAAATACCGAACTATCCCTTTAAGAAGGGTGGTAATCAACTAGATGAAGAGCACCTGCCCATCCAGCCCTGCTGAGGAGAGAGAAAGGAAAAAAAACAGCCTGCACCCAGGCCTAGGATCATGATAGATGAAGGTCTGTGCCTCTGAAAGGGGGGGTCGTTAAGGAGAATTGTTGGCCTGGCTGACATTGGCCAGGCGAGATGTTTTGGTCCCCTGTATGGGGGTGGGTTGCGTTGATAGTGGGAAGGAATCAACTCTATCGCTGCATTTTAAAATGCAGCAATTTGAAGATTTTGGTAAAAAAATGCCTGTCTGTATTTATGGTGCATTTGTTTACCTTGCAACTGTACGTTGAGATGATATTCATGCTGAATGAAATCTGTCAATCTTCCATTATTTGATAACAAATGGAAGTAGTCTATTGTGTGACAGGGAAATGTATGAAATGACCCATTTTTAGTGGCCTTAAAGTAAATACTAAAACTGCTATTATATAAAACTAATCTAAAACTTTTCCTGCTACATCTAGTTTTGGACAAATGTAACTTCTCCTTAGCTAAACCAGATAAAAAATTTTTTTTTTTTTTAGTATTTTTAAATTTTAATTTTGTGTCAATGTTATTAAACAATATCAGGTGTGGAGTAATTTTCCTTTCCGGTTTATTAGAGGGACACTATGGAACAAGTCGCAGGGACACAAGGACGCATGGCTCATGGCGATGTTTCACCGTTTCAAGGTGTAGAGCGTTGGTGTGAAGCGAGGTCATGGCGACCTCATAGCTTGCAGCATTCTGAATGAGCAGCTGCTGCTGATGTTTATTGATTATGAACTGCCAGCAGTATGAGAGGAGACTTCCCAGAGGACAGGCATTTAGGTTTTCTTCAGTAGCAGAGCACAAAGATATACCAGAGCAAAAATACATGACATCTGCAAGGAAAGCCAAACAAATAAACCAAAATCTAATAAAAAAAAGTGTTACCTAGTGAAATTGTGATATTTAAAAACAGAATATGTATATATATATATATATATATATATATATATATATATATATATATATATATATATATATATATATATATATATATATATATATATATATATGAAACCTTTGTAGAGTCAAACAAACATTACATTAAGTTCCTATGACACCATGTATTGCAAAGAACGAAACCCAATTATAAACTGACCAACAATACTGAACATTTGAGTAGTATATGAGGAGTTTTAAATTAGTCAAAATTTCACTGCATTTAATTTAAAAAACATATATTTTCCACTTTACTTTGAATGCCTAAAAGAGGAAAAAAAAAGACCGCTCCAAATGAACGGGTGTGATGAAGCTATTTATTTTCATTTGTAGATTTTCTGTAATGAACTTATTGTGACAATACTAGCAATGGGAATAGTACAATATAGCTTATAATCGTTTCAGTATTCAAGTCATATTTATTACAATGGTCATAATTATTACATTAAAAACAATTTAAACTGTAATATTTTAGTTTATGTTAATATTAACCTCTTTTTCTGTGTCCTCATCTCCATCAGTGTGTCAGATCCTGCCTAAGGGTGTGGTATCAGTGATTGGCCCTGCCTCTAGCCCCGCCTCAGGGTCAACCATCAGTCACATCTGCGGGGAAAAAGAGGTAAGCCACATAATTCATATCTAGCCTCAAGCCATCTGAATATGTCAGTGTATGAAACTCCAGAGTATCATGAACTTACAGCAGAGGCACATTAAATCCAAGCAGATGGTTTCTCATCGACAGTAAGTCATCCCCATTCTCACAGGGAATTGGTCGGATAACAGGATGTGCCAAAGACACACCCATGCCTTCCATCAACTTTCATCCATGGAATGTAAAGTTTTTAAATCAAAATCACTAGCAGCGCTCTACTTGTTGATCATTAACATAACTGTACTTCTAAGCTCAATTCAGAAAGGTATAAATGAGCTGATGTAAGTTTATAGTTCAATTTCTCAGTTTCAACCTGAACTACTTCTTACTCATTATTCAGGTTTCCTCTGATATAAAGGGGAAATAACTAGGTCATAACATAATTTGCAAATACGCTTTGATACTTTGCCTTAGTCTATTTTCTTTTTAATTTCTTCCTGTTGTCTTTACTCACATTAAGTGTATTTTATAACGGCAATATTCACAAGTTCCCCAGGCAAGGCACTTAACTCAAACTTTCCTATGAATCTATTAGTCTGTGGAAGTGTGCGTGTTTTTGAAGAATGTGGGCACAGTTAAAGTGCTCTAAGTGATCTACGAAAGCGCTTTATAAATTCAGACCATTTACAGAACAGCTGCTCTCGTTCATAAATGAGTTTTGTTGATTTCATCTATTGTAGAGAAAATGTTGAATGAAAAATGCTCCAGATCTAATTGAGCTAAATACCTTTAGTGGTCATCCTTAAACCCTCTTATCATCTTTAAGGCATTGCAGATTTAAATTGCCTTTTTTAAATGTTCTTTTTTTGGGGTTGTGTAGAGGACTTAAAACTAGAATCAAAATAGGACATAATTTTCATGATGTCCTATTTTTGCCACTTTGCTGACAATATCTTTGATCGTGTGAATAAAACACAACTCTGTCTGGTTACTTTACAGAAAGATGGTTTATAGGAATATAAAGCTGCTGCCTCCCTGTGTGTCTTTTCTCCAGCTTGCGTCTTCTCACTAAAAAATGATATAAATGTTTAAGAGTGATTCAGTCAAGGACCTATCTTAAATTTGAGTCAGAAGGCACAGGGAAAGCTAAAAATTGGGAGGCCCTGCGGGTTTAAAAGCTTTAACTCTTGACTCACAATAAATATATAGTTAAAATACCAAATTAAGCAGAATTACTAGTCAGTAATTATCGGAACTAATTGGTTTAATGCAAATTACTTAGAAATCTCCCAGGGGCATTGATCGTTTGCCCTCCTTGGTAAAAACAGAATTATAATCGATTTCAGATTGTTGTTTTAATTATCAAATGTATTACTGCATTATCAGAATATTATTAGTACAATTTTTCTTAGTCATAGTAGTAGTATTAAATTAGCAATCATATCAACAAAGGTCCCTTTTGAATATATTTTTAAAAACATGATCTTTAGCGCTTTGATTTGAAACAAAATTCATGAAATCACCTCAAATGATGTTAATAAGTTTCAACATTAACTGCAGGATAAGGATGTAAAAGGATTTTGATTAAAGGGATAAAATCATGAGCCACTGTTTTCCTGCTTCAGTGAATCCACACTGCATCAATCCCACTTTTAGCCTCTAACCATCCTCTCATCCTGAGTCATGCACCTGACATGTTTCATAATGTTGGATAATACTGGATATGGAAGTTTCTTCCATGTTTTTTGCGGATTAGAGCAAAGCCCAGTTGAGCTAATTACAGCTTAGCATTTGAATTGCTATGGGTGTTAGTGAAGGTTATACTGTAGCACAGACATTTGTCCTCTCACATGATTCATCATTTAGTACAGAAGTTAACCTTTTTTTCAATCTCTCACTATTTTTTCAGCTTTAATACATTTCTAATACATGCAGGTCACGGCAACCATCCGCTCGAGTTTTATCTGTATGAGCGTTGATTTATAATCTAAGTCAATGTAGAAACAGTCTTAGATTATGCCTTTATTTGGTCTTGGTTTCTACTTTTAAAATAAGCTGTAAATACAAAGCCCAAATGGAAAAAATAAATAAAAAGGCACAGTAAAGATGTATTGTTTAGGTAGGCCCACTACAATAATTACAGGCTTTGATGTTTAGATTTCATTACTGGCACTGAATAAAGACACTACTGTGAATGCTACTATTATGACTTTATTTTTCTCCTGCACTGAGGGTTGGTCTTTAGCCTGAAAAAAATTACTAATTTCTTTTCCTTCATCTTAATTCCATCTGGATTGGTCAGATCCCTCACGTGAAGATCGGGCCTGAGGAAACCCCAAAGCTACCGTACCTGCGCTTCGCCTCGGTGACACTGTATCCGAGTAACGAGGACCTCAGCCTGGCCATCGGATCCATCCTGCGCTCCTTTGGCTACCCAACAGCCAGCCTCATTTGTGCTAAAGCAGAGTGTAAGTCCTTAATAAAGCGTTGCATTTCATATTAATTTATATTGCGTTTCACTCTAATTCACTTTCAGACCAAAAAGCGGCTGAGGCTTTTCTTTTAACACTATAAGCTGAATATGAGTTTCTGGATTTTTTTTTGTTACCTTCTCTACTTTTCTTTCAGTATGTTTTTTTTCCACTCTGCTGGATTTAGATTCTTATGCTGAGCAGGTACATTGCATCTACCGAGGCATTTGGTTTTCAAAGCAGCAGGTATTTCAAACTCTGCAGAGTTCAGTGATGTGGCCTGACAATAAGTTTATTGTGAGCTTAGGGTTCGTCAAAACCAGTCCTAACTGCTGATGCCATGAATCTGGGAGACCTTTGAAGATTTCCAGGCCTGGCCTGATGGACAGAATACAGCCAGAATATTTTTCAAATACTTAAAGTTTCAAGCCAGGGCTGCTCTGAGATTTGTTTGTTATAGCACTCTTTAAAATGATAGATCCACTTCATAAGCTTTCAATCCAATGCTATATTATAACTCAGAGCATTCGACAAAAATAGTAGTATTTGTTTACTATCATAGTGCTACTCCTTATTGCCGTTGACCATACATATAATACGAAAGCAACCTCTCTCTTTCCTTCATTTAATAGAATACAGAGCTTCATATTTGGTGAGATATTGAACCTCTGCTGGGAAAGTATTCTGAACCTATAAACACCTTCATATTCATGGTAATTTATGTGACTGACAAGCATATCATACAGGGCATGCTTTACGAAGGAATGCTTTACATGGATTTCAAAATGTGAGAAAAGCGGCTTACATTTTTTACACTTTTTTATATTCCTATTTCTAATTTTGCCTTAATCTACAGTGAGTTATACCCGGTTTCCCCTGAAATTGTGCTCCTAATGGTATTTATTAAACCATCTTTAAAAAATTGTAATAAAAAAAAACTTTGTTTTGATCATCCTTTGGTAAGACAACAAATGTTCACAGACATGAAGTAAGAAAAAAAAAATCTAAATTGTTTTGGGAGCTCTCACTTGTCTAATTTGAGAGTCTAATGATGATGGTTGCCATATGCTATAATGAGAGGGAGCTTCCTAATGTTTTGATGATTGAATACCAGCTTAGGAAGGCAGCTGTTTTAATTCTTCAGAATAATTTAAAGACATAAAAACATACTGAAAGCAATGGTCCAAACATTTTTTTTTTTAACCAAATAAATAACTACAGCTTTAAAAGTCACAATCTACCACATCGGTAAACAACTGTTCTATCAGACATTTTAAAACTAGTAGACAGAAACACAGAAAAGAAAAAATGCTTTTTGATGTGTCCTTATTTTATCCATTAAAATAATGGATATATAGTTTTTTTATCAATCACAACTATGCTTTAAGCTCAGAATAGAATTGTTTCTACTCTTTAAACACTAAACATTTCTACTCTTTAAACACTAAACATTTTAAGTTAGCTTAAAAAATATAACAGATATTTAATTTTTCTTGGCCTTATGCTTTGGTATTAGCCCAAACAAAACCTGTTTAAAAATGTGACTTGGTTTGGCCATTTTAACACACTGTTAATATACAAAGCATGTTCTTTACATCTTTTTATATCTTTGAAATTTTGCCAAAAAACACAACAAACCCGACTTAATGACAATATGAACAACTGTTTAGGCAAAAAGTAGTTATCTTGCAATCCAAAAATAAAGTCTTATTTTGGCTTCAATCTGTCTATTGACTGGCCCTTGGACAATGCATGCATGTCCAAGGTGCCTAACTATTAGTGCATTGCTGTTTGCATGAGTGTCGCCCTAACAGAACTATTGGTGAATGTGGCTATGATGTAAAGAACCTTGAGTGGCCATTATAACTTAAAAAATGTGCAACAGTTTATATATCTATTGACATTTGCATTGGCTTGAATTGTAACAAAAAAGTATTTTTTTGTTGTTTTTTATTTGTCATCCTTTCAATGATATTGGCATTAAGTGACTATATTTGCCAGATTCTGGCAAGTTTAATTAAAAGGCACAATTTACAAACACATCTCATCCATTGCTTATAAGAGTGATAGTCATTTCCTCCTGTCGTATAGATATGGTATATAGATATTTATACCACATTTGTTTTCATACCAAAGCCTCCATCTATTTTGGGACATGTAAACAAACTATGCAATAATTCACACTTGCCAGGGAAAACTCTGTAATGGGTTAAAAAACAATAAAATTGACTAGTTACCCAATCAGTAATCTATATTAGTCCTTCACGGGTCTGATTTTTCAAAACTGTATCCGACCACACCCGTAGAGTTCTAGACCCGACCCGTTACCTGCAAGTATCCTAATTTAAACCCCGGCCAGGACCGCACAGACCTGTAAATAATAAATTGTGACCTGACCCCTGATCCCAAAGTGCCCACACAGCCGTTTATAATAACAGAGGCATAAAGAACATTGCCTCACACTAACATCCAGTCCGCACTGCGCTTACAGCTGAACAACTGTAAATTTGTCTAAGTAAGAATGTTTGCCTTGTTGCTTAAAAGAAGTACTGTTATTTGAATTGTCTTGAATTAATTTATTTTTTAATCTGTAGAGTTAATAAATAGAAAATTTAAATAAGTTTAATTCATGCTGTAACTTTATGATACCCTACTTTGTTCATTCATACCTGTTCCCGCATCCGTGAAATAATATTGTTTTATTGTTTTTTTTTTTTTTTTACCTGTAGATGTACAGTTACCCAACTCGTTGCAGGACTCTGATCTAAAAACTCTTTAGAGTTAATTATTAGACTTAGACTTGTCTAGACTTACTTAGTCCTGATTATGGTCACGTGGCTCTGATAAATAAAATCTATGAGCAGAAGGTTAACAGTAGCTATCTTTGGTGTAATAAAGGGGTTTGAATCTATTTCATAATGTGCATTTATTAAAGGTCAACATATAAATGAAGTCATACATCATTGGTTATATAGTATTATACTGGGGGTATAAATTAGGATTCTAAAAGGGTGAGCGATATGCTTACTACCTGATGTCTATAATCTTTTTTTCTCTCCCAATTTTGCTGTAAAGTTTAAAAATTGGCTCAACCTATTGTTCAAAAATAAGACCAATGGCACTGATATGCAAATTCTATAACATGGTAAATGTCACAGATAAAAAAAAAAAAACATCTCAGATATTAGGATATATCCGAGCTAGTAATTATTATGTCGCTTTTTTATGCTTTTCTCAGCATTATGTTGGCTTTTAAAATTCAAGAGGCTTATAATATTTCCTAAGTAATTAAAAGTTTTGCTGAAAATGACAATAGCACTTCTTGGTAAATAAAGAATAGCTTTTCCTTTAATCTTTTAAAGAATGGCAAGTTTTCAAAAAACTCATTTATTATCAAATTTAAACATAAGAAAAGAGAGGTACTGTTTCAGACTGAGAGCTAACTGAAGTTTTTAATGTGGGACCATGAAAAGGCAAAGGGAAGGTGACATATTTTTCATTGCTCCTTAAAATCACTGCATGAAATGTGTGTGAGAATTCTGTCATCCTGTATTCTTTGGGGGACATTAATCTTTGAAAAAAAAAAAAGATTTTAATTATTATCAACAAATTACAGTGATTACCAAAACATGTTAGATATATTTTTCATAAACATATTCCATCTCATATTGTTTAAATGTAAAGGTGTCTAATAAGTGAGTCCATTTACATCTGTTTGGACACATGGGGGAAAAAATGCATTCTCTGAGGAAAGAAATTAATGGGCTCTCTACATAATCACCTTTATCCCAGTCTGTTTATTGCGTCTTTTAGGGAATTGAAGCAGCAACAGTTATTTGTCACTCTAATGACTCTGAGTCCCATCAATTTCAGATGATTTTTTTCTACTTCCTTTTAAAATCAGAGTAATAATTTAATGAAAAAAGAAGCTTTTTAGATGTTGTTTATGTATTTCCTGTTTCCTATACCTATACAATTGATACTGTACCTCTGGTTAATTTATTGATTCAACTTGTTGCTGTTTTCTCACCTGAGTTACTTTTCCAGAAGAAGCATTTGGATTTCTGTCAGGTTTAAAAGTAGATCTATTTGCAATATTCGCATTTTATGCTTGTGGAATTTTGTTAGAACTGTGTCTTTTTTCTGTTTAGGCCTGCTCAGATTAGAGGAACTTGTTCGACAGTTCCTTATCTCCAGAGAGACGCTTTCAGTGCGAATGCTGGATGACAGTCTGGACCCCACGCCCTTGCTGAAGGAGATTCGTGATGACAAAGTGGCTACCATCATTATTGATGCTAATGCCTCTATTTCTTACCATATCCTCAGGAAGGTGAGGATGCTAATTACATATAATGTTCAACTCAAGCTAAAATGACAAAAAAAAATGCATTAAAAATTTTAAACTCTATAAGTATGCTGACTGCATTTTCTCAGTATAAGTTTATGTAAAACTCTTCATGAATGTACTAGAAATCACCTGTCATTTACAAAGCTTCAGACCAGACTTTGCTAAAATTCATTAAGACATAAATATAAAAAAAAGAGCTGTTCCAATTAGTTTGGGAAATAAAAACAAGTTACATTTTTGTTTAAAGGAAACTGGTTATGACAATTAATGGATGCAATTTTCCTTAAATTGCTTTAAGAAATAAGTTGTGACTGTCACGATTTTGCTCTTTCTGGACTTTTTGGCTCTGTTTAAGTTTCTTTTTGAGTTTTCATTTTCATTTTGTTTATGTCATTCTGTGTTTTCCTGGTAATGGTTTCTTTCCCATTTTGTGTTACTGTAGGTTTTTTTTCTACTTATATTTAAGCAGTGTTGTGTTTTTTGTGTTGCTCTCTGTTTCCCCCTGTGCCAGTCTTCTTTCCCCCTGCTCCCTTCTAGTTACTTCTATCCACACCTGCTCCATATCAGCTGATTAGCACAGCCTTTGTTCTGTCTCCCATATAAACACCTCCTGTGGAGTTCCCCAGGGCTGGTTTCTCTTCATTGCTTTGATCCGCATGTGTTTTTCTTCCTGGCATCTCCTGGCTTTGATTAGTTGTTTATTGTTTCCTGAATTTGTGCTTCTGTTGAACTCATCTCTGCATTTGGGTGGTCAAATAACTTCCACCAAACCTGACAGTGACTGACAGGGGCTACATTAAATTTATTCATGTTTAACCTCTGGGGCCTGTTCCAATAAGGAAGTTCAACCAACTCTGAGTTACAACTTGAACTCTGAGTTGACTTATCCTGAGATTGGAAACTCTGAGTTTTGGGTTTTTAGAACAGCTGAAATGAGTTTGTTCAATCAACTCTAAATTGACTGACTCTGAGTTAAGCGCGTGCACCACAACTATAAAAAGCCATTATCAATGGAGCACAGATATTACGAGTCACCATGGCAACAGCGTCAGACAAAAAAAGGTCTGCATATTTCTCACCAGCAGAACTGGATGTGCTTATGCAAGCATATGCAGAATTTGAACATGTATTTAAAAAAAAAAAACAACAACACGGCTGCAGCGGCGAAGGAGAGAGAGTTAGCTTGGGTGAAAATAGCTGCTCGAGTCAATGCGTAAGTTTACATTTTAATTACGGTACTTTTATACAGTGTTGGGTGTAATGAATTAAGTTACTTAAGTCATATAAATACTGTAATTAAATTAAAGACTATAAAACAATAGTGGATTTAATATCAAATTTTAAAAGGTATATTTTGATTTGAACTTTCTCCCTCTAGTTACACACTTTGGTCAATTTAAGATTAATTCATGCAGTTGAATATTGTTTATTTGAAAGCATTAGAAGTGCAGTTTCTTGTCTCTCCTTGTATTGTTCAAGTGGTTGAGGTTGATTTGGGATTTAGAAAGTAATTAATAAGTAAGTAAAACAAATTAGTAATTAGACCAATACTTTCTAGAGACAGTAATTAATACATTAATCTAATTAGACTTGTTGAAGATAAAATTTGTAGTTAGTAATTAAGAACTATTTTAGAGTAACTTACCCAACTGTTATAATATCAGAGGTGAAACTGGAAGAACAGTATTTTATTAAACCTAATTTAGTTTTCATGGATAGGTGCAATCCTGCAGGCATCAAAAGAACATGGCAGCAGCTGAAAATGAAATATAAAAACATACTTCAAGCAGGTAAGCCTTGAGCACATCATGGGAGTAGAGTAGCTACCTGGCTTTACAAACAGGATCATCCATAAAAGGACATGCCATTTCATTCCCTTTGATGCGCTCTACGTGACTGAAATGTGTGCAATGAATACTGTATGTCCCCAAAGAATCAATGAGGTGTTTAAACACCACTTCCTCTTTAAAAAAGGGGAGGAGACCAAAATAAACTCCGGATTTTCTGAAGAAAACCTGCTCCCGACCAGGTTAGGTTCACAGAGTAAATTGCCATGGTAACTGACTCTGAGTATAAGTTACCTCTCTTTCAGAAACGGGCTTGACTTACTCTGCTTTCTCAGGTTTAACTTACCTCCCTTTTCTGAAACAGAAAACCCAGAGTTTCCCTCGTTTCAGGGTTAACAAACTCAGAGTTTTCACTTAACCTCCTTTCTGAAACAGGCCCCTGGTTGTTCAATTCTGAAAATATTTTTTTTTTTGTTTCTTTAACACAGACCAATACTGTGTAGAATATTCAAGAAGTAGAGGTCATCTATCTTAACCATAAATGTCACTATGATGGTAAAAAGACACCGAAGGCCTGGTCTTTAAAAGGTTTGCTCGTATTAAACAATGAGGGTGGAGGTCATGCAAATATAAATATTTACCACATGAGAAGCAATTTCTACAATCTACAATTCACTTGCTTCAGTACCTCTAAAAAGAAAACTGACAAAATATCTGTGGTCATTGTGGCCAAAAAAAGGCATTTGGTACAATGCATGAGGATGAAGAACAATCATGTGCATGTAATCATATTTGGACTGTCAGAAACAACAATTGTAGGATAAAATTATTAAAGAAATGCAGGCTGGAACAAATTATTACAGCAGGATGGTGTGTTTTTTTTTATTCCATTCAAATTATGACTTAAATTGAAAGTTGTGGCTCTACAAAGAGACAGCAGTGATTGTCTTTTCTTTTTTTTTCTCCCTAGATTCAACAAAACTTGATGTTTTTTACGTTTGCACTTATTTGTTTGCCCCAATTCCGCACCTTTTACTTGGTACTGTATCTTTGAAGATCAATTCTTAATACTGTTATGGAAAACCATATTTGTTAATTAAAATCACTAAGTCATCACTAGCTAAGCAACACACTATACTGCAGTTTTCGATGTAGCAGCTGACAAGTAGAGCTGCACCATTTATTAGTTGACAGAAGAATAGATATTTGATTTTAAGATCAGCAAAAAGTCTGATTGAAACACTAGGCTAAAAAAAGTCTCAAGCAATATTTGCAAAAAAAGGTTTCAAAGATTTCTTTTAGAGGAATAGAGTCTTGAGAGGGACATAAAAAAAATAAATTGCCAGAGACTAAGAGAGTTGTTTGAACTTAAAAATATAAAATATATTCTACATCTTTGGACCTCTTTTACGGTGCCTCCGTCTAAAAAGAGAACACTTGTAAGTAAAGGTAAAACAAATATATGCATTAATTGCTCCCGGCTGTAGACCGTAATTCTACGGTAGATATCAGGCGAAGAGTGGATGTTAAAAAGTTATGTTGATGCCATCATATTAAGCTAAAAATTACACACTGAGCTCATTTAGCTTCCTTCTATTAGTATTTCTCCTATTTACAACATATTTTCCTGTTGGTGCAGATTTTAAAAAGATTAGGAGACAATTTGGTAGTCTCATTAAAGAAGGGATGAATGACACTCCCTGTTGAAAAACATGCAACATTCATGGTTTTGAACTGTGGTTTTGCTCTGTCTAAATCTCTGTTATTCTTCTGTCTGCTTTTATCTTTGTGCCTTGCAGGCTAACGAGCTGGGGATGATGTCGGCCTTCTACAAGTATATTCTCACCACCATGGTAGGCGCCTTATGTTTTCGTGAGTTATTAATCATAAATATTTCAGGAGAAGTGTCCAATTAGTTATCTATTTTATGTAAAATATTTACAACTCTGACCATGTATCATTAATATTTATTTTATTTTATAACATATGGTTCCTTCGCCTTTGTAAATGCCTTTATCATATTTTGTTATTGATATGTCAATTCTCACAATTAGCATTTCAATCAGAAAAACTCACACAAAGAGAAAAGACAATTAAGAGGAATTTATCGATACAATTACTTTGGATAGATATGCACGAACAGGAGCAAAGAATAGGGCTGTTCCCCCCACGCTTGAAACATGGTGGCGTGGAGATGGATGAAGTTGGTCAGTCTGTAGACTACTGGTTAGTGAGATGGTATGCTGAGCTTCATGGGGACATCCAGTGGATTGCGTGGGCTGATACTAGAGCTTCATTCAGGGATCTGGAAGATGGAAGTCCAGTTGGATAACACAGGCTGAGAGAACCTGTCCATGATGAGCAAGCATGGAGCGAAAGTGGAGAGGAAAAACTCCACTTTTTGGGGGCTGTTTCCCCCAAAAACATTGCTGAGATTGTGGCCAATACGACAGCATGCTCAGAAGGCAGAGACTGAATTGAATGCTAAGAAAAGTAGAACAGCAGGAGTAGTAACAAAGGAGATGAGCCGCGAAGGCTTACCAAAAGGGTCCAGGGCCAGTTGCCGTGAATGCCTACAAAAAGAGGGCCAGGGCCAGTTGCCACGAAGGCCTACCAAAAGGGGGCCAGTTTCCGCGAAGGTCTACCAAAGGTTTGTGAAGGGATGGTGAGATGAGGTGAATGATGATGGGATAATTGCTGGGATAAATGAGGCATGAAATACCTGCCGCGATGCTGCATAAACGCCCACAATGATAGGCGCCATAAGGCGCCCGGCGCGAAGATGGAAGGCAGCATAAAATGTGAGCCGCGGAGCTGGCGCTATAAAACGTCCACAATAATAGACGCCATGACGCGCCCGTCGCAAAGAAGGAAGCTGGCATAAAATGCCGGCCGTGATGCTGGTGCCATAAACACCCACAATGATAGGCACCTAAGGCACCTGCCGCGAAGATGGAAGGTGCCATAAGGCACCCGCGGTGAAGATGGAAGGCGCAATGAGGCGCCCGCCACGATGATCGAAGGCGTCATGAGGTGCCCGCCGTGATGATGGAGGGCACCATAATTTCATGTAATGCTGAATGAGGGCACATGAGTGCCTGAAGTGATTGAGAAAGACTGCCAGAAACTTCCGCCGCGACAGATATAACGCACTTTGATGCTCCTACAGATGAATGGAGGGTGCCAAGAGCGTTTGTAGCGATGGATGGAGGGTGCCAAGCGCCTATAGTGATGTAAAAAAGGGGTGGCATAAGCTAGTAGCGATGGGAAATGGTGCACCATGAAGCGGCATGCAATGAAAGTGCCATAGCACCTGCAGCGATAGAAAATGGGTGGGAACCATAAGCGCTGGGGTGCCATAGAATGAGGGGTGCCATAGCACCTGCAGTGATGGGAAAAGGCCGCTGTGAGCCCGCTGCGATGATGGAGGGCACCATGAGCACCTGCAGTGATGGCAAAGGGGAGCGTAGGCGCCCGCCACTAAGAATGAAGGGCACCCTGAGCACCTGCAGCAGTAGGAAAAGGGCACCATAACCACCTGCCGCAGTGATAGAGGGCATCATAACACCTGCAGCGATGGGAAAGGAATGCCATAAAGCACTTGTTTCGATGGATGAAAGGTGCCTAGGGAGCCTACGGGTTCACTAAATGACAGTGAAACATGGTAAACTGCCAAAAGAAAATCCGCAACAACTCCACAAGCCTTGAAAATGACCATGATTCAGTTTAAAAGTGATAAAAATTGAGAGTCTGTTAGGGGATAAAAACATCTCAACCTTAATGCTCTGACGGAGAAGATAAGCCGATAGACTCTGTAAAGAAAAGGCTGCAGTTTAATTTATCATTTAGAGTGACAAACATCCACTAGGAAACTCACCCCATATATGCGGTGAAGTGAAAACTTGATTGAATGTACGTGATAAGCCATACCTTTTTTTAAATTTATTAAATAACATTACAAACTGACGTAAATATTTACCCAACTGACGATTTCAGTAGATCACGTTTAGCCTGGTGAAATTAAATTAGTTACCGGATTTATTGAGTCCAATAAAGGAATTCAGGTTCCAGTAACTCAAGATTTATTCATCTAATATATGGATAATGCGGGATTAACTTGTTGCTGATTGACTGGGCAGGACAGTTTTTTATGCGTTAGACCAAAGCGTTTTTCAGATATATTTTAAATATTAGATCCAAATGACTTAATTAAAGTCAGTGGCAATAGAAAACAACATCTTTCCACAAAACTTCGGATTCTAAATTCAGGCTTCCTTAAAATTGAAATTTATGAGAAACGTGAGTTGAAATCGAAACACACTGAAAGAAACGCAGGAACGACGTGATTTATCATCAAGCAGCGCACAATCTGCTGATTAAATCACCATGACATAATTGACAGAGAAAACTGTATAAAAAAAAAACAGCCAGGGACCTTGAAAGGCAAAGATCAGAGACTGATGTTAATTAACGATGAGAAGCTGTGAGCTGGTGAACCATTTGCGTGTGATATTTCTTGATAGAGAAAAGAGCTGAAGGTATGAATGAAGAAACACTAGAGCCTTGGAGCGATACATCTCACCTGAAGAGAATCAGATTTAGCGAGCTGAACGCAGAGCGAGCCAGCTGACTGCTGATGGATGAAACACAGAAATGTTTGGAGACAGGTGAACAGGGCGTGGCGGAGCCGCCAATCTCTGCAGCATTGAGTGGATCAACAGGTGTGTCAGAGGATAGGATCCGAGCAGCAAATGGTGCGGACGATCCGAAGCTCACTTCGAGTTGAAACTGTGTCATCTGAATGAAGTCACACAGTGCATACGCCGTCTGCACACAGAGAGGACAAGTGTGGATCAGAGGCCTTTTAAGATGAACTTTGGATGCTGATTGGCTTTTGTGGAGGTGTGGTTCAAAGCTGATTGGCTGAATCGCAGGTGGATGTAGGAGAGCATGTTAAAGAACATCATGGATATATTTAGAAACACAGGGGAATTCAGTTCTTCTTTTTACATCATGATTCCAACCCCACTACTTTACCAGAGTTTAAGACCTAAAGTTGCCAAACAGAGGCTGAGATGATTATCTGCTGTAATTTTACATTTCATTATTGCCTATTTTTTATCTTTTATTTCTTAACTTAACTTCTTAATTATGTCCAAATTAAGACAAAAAAAAGGAGAAATGACCAATGGCAAAGTAGAAACACACAAAACTCGTTTTGATGGTGGTTAGGTAACATATTTAGTTTTGACTAGTGAAATTAACTGCATTTGGTTTGGGTCCTACATGCTCAAGGCTAAACCCATGAGTAAGATTGAAATGTCTCTATTAGTCACAAAAGTCTTTACTAACATTAGAAGAATGGAGGTTTGATGAATAGTCTTTGAGCGACGTGTCATTATGGCTTTTGGTACTAAGCGCTAGATCCCAGATTTATTCATATATAGATCAGAAATAATTCCCACAGTTTAAGAATAATTATCCTAAACCTTTTTCCTTGCTTGTCACAGTTTCTCTGTGTAGAAAGTAAGCCCACATCAACCTATTTTAAATTATGTATATTAGACAACCCTCTATTTCATGGTGCTGATACTTATAATTAAAACTATTAATGCTATGACTCTTGATAATAACAAATTTTTTTCAGTATTGCGTTTGTTTCAAGTTAATTATATCAATTATCAGAAACAACTTATAATTGTGTTTAAAATTAAGCATTTTTATATCATGTTTTTATATTTTATTAATTCATTCCTGTTACCTATATTAACTATATTTTTATACCACTGTCTGCTCTTCTGGATTTAGTTGTTTTTTAAGGTTTTTGTGTCACTTTCTTTGTGGGGACCTTAACATTTTTTTAACCTCTGTAAAGGACCTTTTTACATGTCTGTTACAAAAGTAGTCTACACATTTTTTGCATCACCTTTGGTGGATTAGTCTTTTTTAAGTGTCTTCTTTCCTCCAAAAATTAATTTTCTTCCTCATTTCTTCTTTTTTCTTTTCATGGATGTCATTCGATTTGATCAGATGTTTTACTTTTACATTCTTAATTTGGAAAATCTGGCTATTGAGTCCAAACAGCAGATTTTTAAAAATATTGTTGGGAATTTTTTTGGGTGTGTTCTCATGTGAGCAAACCTTTCACACCTCAAGGATATTTTTTGTGTTACATTCTTAACCATAGCTTTCCTGTTCTCGATCAACCCTAACCTCCCCCTCCTTATCTCTCTCTTCTCATCAGAGATGCATGCTGCTTCTTTCACTGTTTGTCATCATTATAATTCCCCTGTTTGGTGTCGTGCCCTTGTACAAAGAACCTGCGTGGTTAATAACGTGCCTCGATCTCCGCCTTGACTCTAAACACAGTATGTCATGAGACTTTAGCAGGGTTGTTCTGGCAGCACTAACAAACCAAGGGCAAATTTGTCATTCCCTCCATCCCACCACTGCCTTCTCTTTCTCACATTTTCATTCGCCTGCAGCGGTGTCAGTGACCTACCTTTAACTTTGCACTGAACATGCTCTGCAGACTGTAAAAATACTAGCAAAGAAAAGCACAATTTTAATATTCCCTCTAATGTTGTTAGAGCATACGAAAAACAGAGAGGAGTCAGTCATTAGACTCTGGGGAATTTTCACTGACTGGATAATTCTCTTCAACGCTCTAACGTCTTGGAGCCATTATTGTTGCTTAATCTCTATTTTATTGCGATCCACATACTGATTCATTTTAAATGGCTAACACTTAACAGACTCATTACAGTCAACAATTATGGTTTTAAAATGCTCTTTTTATTATGGGGTGCATGGTGATGCACTTGTCCAAACCATGCCAACTGTTAAGTTAAGGGTAGACCATAGAGAAATATAATCAAACTTTCCTTTGAATATTATTGCGGCACAATTATGCCTGAAAATGTTTCCTATTTCAAGAGATGATCTCTATGTAAATAGGATGGAAACAGTTTGGAGCTTTAACCACTAATTAAATGGGTAAAAGCTGAAATTCTTAAGCTGCACTGACCAATACTGCAGCGGCTTACTACATAAATGCAAGAATAATCAAATGGCAGGAAGCTCAAATTCAAACCCAGAAATATGAAAATCAAGGTGAAATAATCAGGAGGTTGTCACTATTAGTTTAACCGAATCAAAATCCTATGGCGTTATGAAGGTAATACCTCTTTAAAAATAAAAAAATATATCAAGTATACAACATTTTAAAGAAGTTTAATTTTGAAATTATTATTTATTAGCCTTGACTAGCCTTAAAACCAGCCTCTTCCTAAATGAACATCTACTGTGAAGCATGCTGCAGTCATTGCATCACTGGTGTCCTTCTGGAATGCTGTCGCAGTGCTTTCTCCCTAGACAGGGTTGGCCTGGTCCCTGCAACCTGGCCAGCCAACTGCTTATTGTCAGTACTGGCAGGCCGACAGTCTGACAGCCGGCCTGGCTGCTGCTGAAATTGATTTGGCATCCGGCTAGAGCAGAGGCAACAATGACAGCAAAAGTTTCTCAGCCGGCAGAGACACTGGCAACGACAACAGATAAGAAAAAGACCGCTATTTTGATGAATGAATTTCCTAACCATAATAAATTAGTAATGAGCAAATCGACAAAGAGGCCTTTAAAATTAGCATATTTACATAAATAATCAAATCCTTAATATTACTTTTATAGCAGTTGTGAAAAAAAAAAACCCCTCTTTGGCTCCTCTGTACATCTTTCACGGCCTTCTTGTTTTTGTTAATTAGCAATTTTAAGCCAAAAGGATGTAGAGAGCAGACGCTGCCAAGTACTAATAGTGGCGATCTAAGTGTTATGGTTCAGGCTGAAAACTGCTGACTCGCATTAGATATCTTAAAGTTTTTGCTGCAGCAGAAATAAAACAACAAATGAAAAATGTCCTTAACACAAAAAACCTGGGATACTGATACTATTATAAATACAAACATCAGCCACAAAAAAGTAAGAATTTCCTGCACTTACCTTATCTATATTTTACCTCATTTTACCCTGTTTGAAGTGCACTGCATAATAAACTTAAATAATAGATTTTTCACACAACTAACTTTTTTTTCACTAGTGCTTTCAGATTGACTCATTTTGAAAGCAACTGCACGCCATAAATACCTATTGCATAAAAAAAAAAATAAAACATACTAGAGACTAATACTAATAATTTGTTATGGTTTATTAATATACAGGAAAGTTTGCAGGATGACAAAAAGCTTAACTTACTTTCTGGTTGCACTTAGTGGGTCTCCATTGACTGCTCATGCACAAAATGCGAGCAGTCAGTTTGTGGGCATATGGAAACAAGTACTGTAAATTCTCTTTCTGATTGTGTATTGAGATCCTTTTAACAGCATCACTTCCAAACATACTATCCAATCTCAAAGATTTGATTTTCAAGTAAGCTTGGGACTTGCTACACAACCTTCAACATCAGCACAGATTTTAAAGTGACTTGCAATTCACACAGACTGGTTTAAAATATTTATTTTATTTCAAAACTTTAAACTGACACTGTTCAGCAATCTGAAACTACATGATTATTTTAAAGAGCTAAAGCCAACTGCAGACATAAAACTTGTGAAACTCTCACAAGGGCCTGATTTGAAGGGTAAACAAGCCACAGTTGGCAGCACTAGAAAATATCCAAATTCAGACAGGCTACATCTATTTCCTTCCTAAAATTAAAGAGATGTGATTTAAAACATCAAATAATTTATCAAACTGATAATGGATTTAATATGTTGACTGTTTTTTTTTTGGCTTTAAAACAATACTTTTTTCTCTTTGCTTTATTATTGTTAAGTCTGCTGTAACAAACAATACTACATTATGTGTTATTGAGGGTACAAAAGAGTACAAAATTAATGTCTAGCTGAAGCTGTGTCTCACTTACAAATGCAAACAATTCCCACAGTTAAAAACTTACATGCAAAATTAGTTGTCTGGTTGTCCCTTTGTATTTATTCCTGATGAATACAGAGGAGGATTTGAAATATAATTATTGTTGATTTACTTACAACGTGTTTATACACACGTTTGTGTTGATTCACTAATTTACACTAATTAAGTGATAAACATAAAAACTGAATGTCAGAACTGTAACCATACAGTCATATGTTTACATTACTGTTTTTCATCATAATGTTGTTTTTTATCACTGCTGCTTACCTTATCAAGGTTGCACTTTAAAAAATGAAATAGTCTAGAGAACTGTTCTTAATGAAATTTGTTTACACTTGTGTACACAAAAAGACAAAGTAAATCAGTCTAAGTCTCTACATGTAATAATTTTAAATGAAGCGATGCACAGTTACCACAAATCAAAGGCAAATTTTTGCATTGCATCAATTGTAGAGAGCTTTAAATTAGATCTTGAGTATTTATAAGCAGATATATATTTGATTTAACCTAAAATATAGTAAAATGTGAAAAGTCTGCAGATTGGGCACCTTCCTACTTCAACAGACTATTGAATATTGGAATGTATATATACAGAATGTCTTTTCTGAGTATATACTAAAATGATCAATAATTGTACAAAGTGAGAACAAAACACAGCATCACTCTCGACTTAAAGTGATTCAAGTCAGCAGCATACCTTCCAATGGCAGCGACATATTGCTGTAGAATCAGCATATGCCAACGAACCAGAAGTGGCATATGCTGACATGCCATCTGCTGCTTTTAGTTCTGGCTCTACTTGATGCCAAAGTAATTGAATTATAGTGTTTTAAAAGAATACCTATTTTTAATTATGTGTCTGACTGTTAAGTTAGGCTGAAGTTTCCTGCTGATGGCCATTGTTTTCAAGGCACATAACGAAATGATTAAGTCAAACAAGCATTTTTTTCTCTATGAAGTATAACTATGAATCAAACAGTATGGTTTATTTATTTTTTGAGAGCAGTACAATTGTGTTGAGAGCTCATGTTACCCATTATTGTCATCAGGTGACAAATCAGCTGGAGATTTGTTTGGTTCGCTTCCCTACAACTAAGGCTAAATATTTTATTGTCAGCATTTGTTGCATAACACTAATCCTTTAAGGGCAAAGCAAACATTTTGATTCTGGTTTGTTTCTGCACCAATGCTCAGCATGACATCGACTTGCCTTCAAGGACTATTTGAATTTCTTTGAAACATCCAAGCTTTTGATGTCCATCTTTTTTTTCTGTTAGGTTACTAGCCTGCTCAGAATAAAAACAAAATAATTCATAGTAGACTGAAGAAAATCCAATTCAGGTCTTTCATTCTTTTTTCTCCAAGTTTTTTCTATTCTCATTTCTGATAATGGACCTAATTAATGTATCTCCTTTCTGGTATTATTATTAAGCTTATCATGCAGTTTGTTTTCCATTTAGTTTTATTTTACAAATTGCCAACAAACTCTTCTTCTTCTTTGTCCCTTTATTTTTTTTTTTATCTGGCCTTAAGGATTTCCCTCTGCTCCAACTAGATGATGTGGTGGGTGACCAGTCCAACATTGTTGGCTTCTCTATGTTGAACATTTCCCATCCTTTCTACTTGGAGTTCATCAGGAGCCTAAACTTGTCATGGAAGGAAGGCTGCAACATCAACCCATATCCAGGACCTGCGGTGAGAAAAACTGACAGACACTGTGTTTATTAAAGCTGCTCGATTCCAAACAAAGATACTCAAGAGACCAGAAAATGACAATATGTGGCAGAAAAAGATGAGCGCCAATTAGTTTTAATGTGGATTTCCAGATATTCTAAGCTAATTCTGATTTTCTCTATGAGAACTATGATGTTGATGCATAAAAGAACAACTCTAAGATATTTTTACAGGCTATGTTTTGGTTTATTTAGTAGTTATTCTGTGAAAAGTCAGAGACAATGTCCTATTCAGGCTGATATTATTGATACCTTAATATCATAACAAATATGTTAAACTAGCATATTAACGGTTAGCACATGATTCAATTTCATGCATTTTTTATATTTTTTTGGAGGCCGTGAGTCCTTACCTTAACCTTTAAAATATTTTCATAATTTCTGAATCCAGCTTTGCTGTACTTACCCTGCCTCTATGTGTTGAAATGCCTTGCTCTCTGCCACTGTCTTGCAGCCTACATTAACTACAGAGGTTGCCCAACATGCAATCAAAAATCCAATTTTCTTATAAATTAGCCTCCTACATCCCCGTTTTTTTCCTGATTTCATTTTGAACACATTGCCTTTGTAAACAGCTCAGTATGAGGACTTGTCCCGCAATAACTGCCCCAATTTTTGACATGGTTGAAATGAATAGAGTGGACCTACTGAAAAAAGGGGTTTTTGATCAGTAGGTGACGGCTCAGGGCTGATCAAGCTAATAATGATCTAGAGAGTTAAGAATTGACTTCTTAATATATAAACAAAATTGCTTTTAATGTTATAGCATAATTGCAGGAATTATTGCTCATTTAAAGAGGCAAAAATGCAAAGTAAAAAAGAAATATATATGTAAATCCACATGGAAGCATAATGTCTATGTCTTTCCTCAAATAATCGGAAAAAATCCGTCTATATATGCCTTCAAAGCTTCATCCATCCCCATCGGCGTCCCCAGGCCCCATTTACTGGGGCACGTGCCCCTGTATAAATGAGCTCTGCCCCAGTAAAAATCTCATCAATATTTGCACAAGTGATAAATTTTTTTAATGCATCAATTTAGATAATTCCAATGGGAGGAGACGTATATTTCTACTCAAATGCGCAGCATGTATTAGCGCCCCCACGTCAGTGCATGTCACTGCATGAACTGCAGGTAAACTAACGCGCTGCTCTCAACTGAGTCGGATGGGACACTGTGTGGCCGCAACGCATTTTTAGTTCTGGTAACGTTTCTTACCTGTCAATTTTATTATTTTCCCAGTGAAACCACATGATTTATAGGCTACTAACTGAAAATTACTGCACTGGTTTGTTGATGGATATCAGGAAATTCCTCACACGAAGCAGAGACAGGGAAGCAGTAAAACAAGATGAGAGAGAGGGAGGTAAGGTCCCGTAATGAATTAGTGATTTAAACTAAGCAGTTACATTAGGGACTTTATAAGCAATATGATTGATATTTACATAATTATAATTTTACGTTTTTTAATGTTTGCTGTAGAGAATGAGAATGAAGGTGCTGGAGTAGGAAAGGGAGGAGGAGGCGAGACTGACAGGCAAGAGACAGGTGAGAGACAGGAGAGACAGGACCATGACGGTGATGAGGGAGCAACAACCAGCGTCCACAAACAAGAAGGGGACATTAGTGACTTAGGGGGAAAGCATGCTGGTCCTAAACAAGTGAAGTTGTCCCACCATCCCCAGGACAAATTTGGAGTAAAAAAAACTTTAATTTAATTCAAAATGGTTTGAAAGCTTTTCCTGGTTGAAAAAGAAATCCTTGTCATCAAGGATATGCAGTGTTTTCAACTTGCTTGATAACACCATGTTCCCCACACTAACGCAGGTCATCCAGATCTCCCTCACAATCACAATCATCAGCTGGAGTTGTGAAAGGTCATTCAGTGTATTGAGAAGGCTCCACACTTGGCCGAGGTGCACAATGGGACAAGACAGGCTCCATCATCTTGCTATTTTATCAGTTTAAAAGGAAGAACTTTCTAAGCTGAGTCACAGTCTAGTGATCGACCGCTTTGCAAAAATGAAAAATAGGAGGTACACTTTAATGCTCAAAAATAAAAGAAAAACTTAGTTCAGGATTAGTTAAAATTTCCCCTGAACTAAAACTCTGAAACCTAGGAATTAAGGATTACTTCAGAACGTGTATAAGGACACTTTTATTTTTAAAGTTGTTGATGTCTTATTTTTTATAGCTGCAATGTTGAAAATGTTCATGTTTGTTAAAACAAATATGCTCTTACACTCATTAATATCTCAACTGGCAATTTTGGTAGGAATTTATCAGGGTGGGGCAGTGTGCTCGTCTGTATTTGTGTATGGCAGGAGGGGCATATGCACTAGGGGGCCAGTGCCCCAGTAAAGCTTTGTGCCTAGCAACGCCCCTGTCCATCCCTTTTCTCCAGCTTAATCCTTGTCAGGGTCGGGTGGGTCTGTTGCGATTCCACGGTAGTCTATGGGCTAGAGGCAGGTTGCCTGGACAGCTCGGCAGTCCGTCGCAGGGCAACACAAAGACACAGAACCATGCACACACATGCACTCACATCTAAGGACAATTTATAGAAGCCAATTAATCTAAAAGTCATATTTTTGGACTGTGGGAGGAAGCCGGAGTACCCAGAGCGAAGGGTGGACTCGAGCTGCTGATTCATTCGTTCTGTTTGTCCATTTGACTGTGGATGATAGCCAGAGGTTAGCGAGGACTTACAATTGAGAGCAGAGCAAAAGGCCTTCCAGACTTGGGAGATGAATTGAGGTCCGCGATCTGAAAGGATCTCCTGGGGGATTCCATGTAATCGGAAGACATGTTTGATCAGAAGCTGGGCGGTTTGGAAAGCCGTGGGAAGTTTTCTAAGAGGGATCAGATGACAGGACTTTTAAAATCGGTCAACAATGGTGAAGATTGTAGACATACCTCGGGAGATGGGTAGACCAGTGACGAAGTCGATATCGATATGGGACCAAGGGCGCGAGGGGACTGGAAGAGGATGCAGTAGACCTGAAGGTGGTTGGTGAGAGGCTTTGTTTCTGGCGCAGGTAGCACAAGCCAAGACATACTCCTTGACATCTTTATGTAGAGTAGGCCACCAGAAACGTCTAGAGATTAAAGCCACTGTTCTGCTCACCCCCGGATGAGCAGAGAATTTGGCAGCATGCATCCACTGTATCAGGCGAGATCTAACAGAAGGGGGGACATATGTTCGGTTAGCAGGACCGTTACCTGGGTCAGGTTCGGAAGCCAGGGCTGAGTTTATAAGATCGGTGATCTCCCATGTAACCACTCCAACAGTGCAGGATGAGGGTAGGACAGGTTCAGGCGTCTCGGAATGATCAACGGAGTAAAGACGAGAGAGAGAGTCGGGTTTGACGTTCTTGGATCCGGGTATGTAAGAAATAATTAGGTTGAAGCGAGAGAAAAATAGGGACCACCTTGATTGGCGAGGGTTGGCTTGTTTGGCTGATTGGATGTAAGCTAGATTCTTGTGATCAGTCCAAACAAGAATCGGGTGCTCAGCTCCTTCCAACCAGTGTCTCCATTCCTCCAATGCCAGTTTTATGGCCAAGAGTTCTCGGTCTCCAACGTCGTAGTTTTGCTCTGCGGAGGAAAGTCTACGAGAAAAATAGGCACATGGATGAACCTTTTGATCTGAGTCAAGTCTTTGTGATAATACAGCGCCCGCTCCAGAGTCGGAAGCGTCAACTTCAAGGATGAATTGTTTAGCAGGATCGGGTTGAATTAGCACTGGAGCTCTGGAAAACAAAGTTTTAAGTTTAACAAATGCAGCTTGCGCCTCGGGGGTCCATTGGAAGGTTCTTTTGACTGATGTTAGGGAAGTTAGAGGAAGAGCTGTTTGACTGTAATTTCTGATGATCTCCGGTAAAAATTGGCGAAACCCAGGAATCTCTGTAATTGCTTTCGATTTTCGGGTACTGGCCAATCCAAGACTGCTTTTATCTTATCTTCTGAAGGTTTAATCTGCCCACCCTCGAGCAAAAACCCCAAAAAGGTGACTGAAGACTGATGAAACTCGCATTTTTCGGCTTTGACGAAAAGTTTATTTTCCAGTAGTCTTTGTAACACTAGGCGGACATGTTTCTTGTGATCAGAATGGTTCTTGGAATAAATGAGTATGTCATCAATGTAAACGAACACGAATACATTCAGGAAGTCTCTGAGAACGTCGTTAACCAGGGCTTGGAAACATGCAGGGGCATTAGTTAGACCAAAAGGCATGACCAAATATTCAAACTGGCCCAAGGGAGTTTTAAAGGCTGTTTTCCACTCATCTCCGTCTCGAATCCTGAGAAGGTGATAAGCGTTCCTCAAGTCGAGTTTGGTAAAAACAGTAGCCCCTTGAACGGGTTCAAAAGCTGAAGCGAGTAGTGGGAGAGGGTACTTATTTTTAATGGTTATTTGGTTCAGGCCTCTGTTATCTATACAGGGTCTTAGAGAACCGTCCTTCTTGCCAACGAAAAAGAACCCTGCACCCAACGGAGAAGAAGATGGGCGAATTATTCCGGCAGCTAAAGACTCATTAATGTATTTTTCCATGGTTTCTCGTTCAGGTTTGGAAATATTATAAAGTCTGCTGCTGGGAAGGGGTGCTCCAGGTAATAGCTCAATCGCACAGTCATATGGTCTGTGTGGTGGAAGGGACGTAGCACTGACCTTACTGAAGACAGGAGCCAAATCATGGTACTCGGAAGGGACAGAAGTAAGGTCAGGAGAGTCCATCTCCCCCCCACCTCTAGGGGACCCCACAGCAGGAGCTGCTGAACGGAGGCATGTTTCATGACAAAGAGTAGACCAGGATTCCACATGACGATCAGTCCAGTTAATATGGGGATTATGTTTCTCCAACCATTCAAAACCAAGCACCAGGGGGGAACATGCGGAGGGAAAAACAAAAAATGTTATGGTTTCACAATGATTACCTGAGATAAGTAGCTCGAGAGGCTGGG